TCAATAATTTCATTTCTCATTAGATAATAATAATATTTTGCTTCTTATAAAAATAACTCAGCACAATAATAAACAATAGTAGACTTTTAAAGTAAATTAAGCAATTAAACTGTCACATAAAAGGTTTTTAATTCCCTCATCCTTGTGAAGTCTACTGCAAAGTCATATTCTCCGGATGAATTCACAGATATTTCATGAAACGGAAATTCAAAAGAAAAAAAAAAGTCAAGTGAATTCAAATAGATATGTTTAACAAGCTATTCAAAATGGTGATGCATCAGAAGTCATGCTAAGTGAAGCATCGATACATTGACGTTCTTTACATCACTCGATGAGAGAAACGATAAAAAAAAAGAAGCGAACAAGAAGAAAAAGACGAGAAAAAAAAATAGAACTAACAATTCTCGAGTCTAACATTCATTTTTTCTTCTTACTATGGCCGAACATATTGATGCTAACCGACTTAATAGTGATCTTCGTTATCGTTTTGAATATGTATCAAAATTTTTAAATTTTACATCTGATGACATTGCTATGCTTAATACATTTGCACCTATTATTTTTCCAATTATTCCTGTTATTTCTGATACTGTTTATAGAAAATTATTTTCATTTGATATAACAAAACATTATTTTCTTGTTCGTAATGAAGGTTTTGAAGGCTTTCTACCAAAAAAAACTTCTGGTATTACATTAGAATCACCTCAAATGGAACTACGAAAAGATATGTTAAGCATGTATTTAAAACGTGTTTTAACACAACGTGATTGGAATGATACATTTCTTCAATTTTTATCACATGTTGGAAAAATGCATACAAATCAAGCTGGTTCAGCATCCATTAATGTTGATTATGCACATATAAATGCATTACTTGGTTATTTAGAACATTTATTAATTGATGTTCTATGTAATGCTGATAGTATAGATGAAAAAACTAAGCGTGGAATTTTAATGGCAATAAATAAACTTTTTTGGATACAAAATGATTTTTTTACAATGCATTATTTAATGTCATTAAAAGATACTTTAAAACCAAATAAAACACCACCATCGACGAAAAAATCAAAATGTTGTTGGATGTAATTGAAAATAATAATAAAAAAAAAGATATGAATATATTTATTTTAATTGAGCGATAGTTATTTATTATAACTGTGTGTCGCACAATAAAAAAATCAATGCAACTCGAAAGAAATGAATTAGAAAAATGAATAAGATTACCTTTACAATAGTTCATACCTGTAGTGTTCTGTTAATAATAAATGCTTTTTCTATTTACTTTTATCGAAAAAATAAACTTCTTCGTAAACAGCTAGATAGATTTTCTTGTGGAATGTATATATGTGTTTCTCATGTTTTGGTGTTTATCCTTTCTTGAAAATAAGTGCTGTTTGATGGAACATTATTTCTTTATCATACAAATTCTAGATGTCAAACAGAAGAATAAACATTTCCTCTCGCACGTCTTGCACGACATTTTAAAGAACAAGAATTACTGAGAATAGAATAAAATACGTCATTTCTCGCGTGTTATTTACTAGTTTTACTTGTTGAACGGCATTCATTAGTTTAACCTCGAATAACATCAAAAGGAGTGCATATTTTCGTCTCTATTAAATTGTAAAAGTTATTCTGCAGATTTTCATTATATTGTCGGAAACAAGAAACTCTTCTTTGATAAAAATCGAACGAAGATTTACAAAAACAAAAAATAATCATAATGATTAATCTTGACTTAAGATAACATGGAAAAAAGTCATTTTTTTTTTAGATTCTATCGAATAAAATTTAGCAATAGATCCGTATTACAGTACACTGAATATATGATTGATGTGTCAGAGTTTGATTTCATTGATCGATTCAAACATAACAACGAACTATTCTTACGATTGTTTACATTTGATTAAAAATTGAGTTTTGAGTGAAAGATATTCTACCTTTTAGTCGAGTATTTAATATGCATATCAAGTAGAAACTCTGATAGATTTTGTACCTAAATTCTTAATCAATCATGTTTATTTATATTGACATAATCGTATAAATAACTTTAATATGATTTATATTCTTATGAAATGTATGGCTTAGAAAAATATATGTTATGAATGAATTTCTTAGGTTTCATAACGTATTATATCATGATATTAATCATGAAAGAGTATAGTGTAATACTATTGAAATATTCTATTATAAGAATGGTTTTTTTTAAACACGTTTCAAAAACTATTAAGAATTTAAGAACTTAAGATGATTTTCATGTCTGTTAAAAATTAGAACAAACAATAAGAATAATTAGCATAGTTCTAGACATATTTTCAAAGAACTAAGAAATAGAGCGATAATAGTCTTTATAAGTGTTCTTCAAATAAACAAAATATGTCGATGGTATTAATCCTAAATTATCCGTCGAAGAAAAAAAAAAAAAGAAAATATGTTCTTACTTGTAGGCGGTACTTCATTGAAAAGTCAAAGAAACGAAATAAAGAAAACAAATATCAGACCCATTATGCATGTTGAGTTTACAATAATTATTAACATAACGCTTTTATCTAAAACAAATGACATTCATATAGTTTGAAAAATTAATATCTCATTTTGCTAAGATATATAAATAATCTAAACAATATAGAAAATTTAATTGTCAAGATCATTTACTGAATGTAACCAATAGCTATTCATATAAAATTGTTTTTATAGTTTGCTATATTTCACAAAGAATATTATAAATATTTTCATAGAGTTGTCTATGACAAATTTGATTAAAAATATGTGCAATAAAATGTATGGCATTATTTTATTTGTTCTATTTTTTTCAATTAAAACGACTGATACTATTTAAATATTTTATGAATTTTACATCGTACAAAATTATTTTCTTGTCTCTAACGTGTGCAACATTTTTCTGTCATATCAATTATTTATAGCTCGATACTTGTTTTTTCTTCACATTACTGCTACCTTGAAATGAATACTTCATATATTAATATTATTTCTGTTCAATTCAACATTTTTATTTCTTTTTTTTCTGTCAATGAGACATATATGTCAATATATATTGAACATAGACAGCATAAATGTCATGAACGTCATGTTTATATAAAAACAAAACTAAATAGTTTTCTATATAAATTTGACCCTCGAAATTAATTATCTAATAAAAAATTGTTTAATTTCATTTATTTTGTTTTAAAACAACAAGAAAAAGAACAAATCATTTGAATATTCTAAACAGTTTTGAAATTTTCATAGTCTTGTTTTTTGTTTTTGTTGTTTTTGAATGCAAAAAAAAAACATTGCGTTCTAGTTTTTATTCTTCGATTTATTCGTTGTCATTGGCATGTTAAACATCTCACTGATACCGTCTTGAGATTTATTTTTCTAATCGTTGATAATTGAATTTTTTCGAACGACCGATTTCATATCTTATTGAATTACTTATATTTTTATTAGGCTGAAAACCACTTGTTAGTTTTTTTTCTTGTGATGAAAATCAACAATAAATAAAAATATTCATTGAATATTTTACTTTTTTTGAATAACAACAAATGATATAGAATAAATAATGATTTGATTTTTTTCATTTTAGTTTTTCTCAAGAAAAAAAAACAAAAACTTTATGGTTTCAATTATTCACAGAAAATTAACTTTTCAATCGATGTTTCTTTTTTTAAAGACTATTTCTACTTCAAATCGAAATTTTTTTAGAAAATATTTCTAGAGATATTAACAAGAAAAAATAGAATCATTATTTTTTTTCTTATTTGCAATTCAAAATCCATTCATCTATGATAATTAAAGCATATTTATTCTTCATATAGATATACAATTGAAAATGAAAGTTATTTAGTTTTAGACGTTTTCTGCCATTTTAAACGATGAGATAACCATGAATAGGTTAGATCTAATGTATGAGATATGCGTCATTTCCTTCATTAAAAAGGAAAATCTATTATTTTATTCAGTGATAGCCCGAAGCAACCGACATCAAGCGAATTACGCGACTTTTTTTTTTTTGTAAATGGAGATTATCTTTCTTCTAACAGATTGCAAAAAAAAGGCTTTTCACTGTATTGAGAAAGAAATAAGAATTTCCTATGATTAGAACGGAAGGTCACACCTTCTTCTTCCATCGTTGAGATCATCGTTGATTTTTTTTTGAAGTAAAAAAAAATATTTGTGTTGATTTATAAACATCAATGCAAATACTTTACACATTCAATAATATATATTAACATGCTAAAACGTTTTTATCTATTAATTTGTACATCTTAAGAAGGTTGTTACATTGTCTGATAGAAAATTTGAATATTCTAACACAAATTTTCTGATTACACCCTTTAATATGAAAAGCTTGAATGATTAAGAAATAGGTTTTTATAGATATTTTTTTATATGAAATAATTTCATGCTTGATTAACTTATTTGGATAATTTTCAATTCATTGAATAAACTTTTTTTTTGTCTTTTCTTGATCTATTATTGACTTTTTCATATAAAATATGCATCATGTATGATAGGTTTTTTTCTTCAAATAGAAATTCAAGATGATCTTAAACATAAATTAACATCTAGAAAAAGCGTTATGAATTCGATTTCTATAAGAATATTTTTAATGTGAGACAGGATGTTATTTGTTCAAAATGGTGGACCATGATCCTTTCATTTCCTATGAAAACAATCTACTTTACATAAGAAGAGTAAATTGTTATTCTTCATAATAAAAGGAAACGATATTTTTCTTTTACGGAAATGGACGCGCAACACTAGCATACTCATTGTGTTTTACTAGTTCATATATTATGTGTGTGATGAAGAAGGAGCAGACGGCAAAAAAAGAAGAATAGAATGTCATGTGTCGAATGGCATTAAAATTGCCTAATCAGATTGGCTTATTTTTCTATAAGAAGAAAAAAAACTAAAAGGAAAAAACTATGCTTAAAGAAAAGGCAAAAACTAACAAGAACAACTAACACAACAACATTTACATAGATGTTCTTATAATGACTGAACATATCGACCACAATCAACTAACTAGTGATCTTCGTTATCGTTTTGAATATTTATCTAAATTTTTAAATTTTACATCCAATGATATCACTATGCTTAATACATTTGCACCAATACTATTTCCACGTATACCTGTTATAACCGATACTGTTTATAGAAAATTATTTTCATTTGATATAACAAAACATTATTTTATTATACGCAATCAAGAGTTTGACAAATTTTCTACTGATCAAGAAAATAATTTAACAGTAAGTTCAGCACAAATCATGTTTCGTAAAGATATGTTAAGTATGTATTTAAAACGTGTTTTAACACAACGTGAATGGAATGATACATTTCTTCAATATTTATCTCAAGTTGGAAAAATGCATACAAATCAAGCCGGTTCATCATCAATTAATGTTGATTATATACATATTAATGTTTTATTTGGTTATTTAGAACATTTATTAATTGATGTTATATTAAATACAGAAAATCTTGACAATATAAATAGACATGCTATGATAGTAGCAGTTAATAAATTATTTTGGTTGCAAAATGATTTTTTTTCAATGCATTTTATGACAGGATCAAAAGAAAATTCATCAACTATGGATAAAAAAATCAAAGACTCAGAATGTTGTTGTTTATTAAATTAATTATCAGATTAATATTTTAATGTATTTATACTTCAACATTCTTCATGTAACATAAAATTCAATAAACGTATGACTAAGAATTAAGATTTAAGATTTTTTCAAATTATGTATTATATAATCCGATCAGATTATAGTCCGGAATAGAGTGCTGTTATAATTTTTTCATATATTACCATGACAAATACATCAGCATTTATAGTCAAAATGTGATCTAATTACAAAAATAAATGAATCTCGCTAATGTTGATTTTTACTTACTAGTGTTTTGTCACTGTAAAGATTAAAAAACTATCAAAAAATTAGATTTCAAAAAGCAACAGCTAAATAATGAGTTTTTCTTGTTGACACTAAATTAAATGACAAAATGAGCTTTTCAATCTATCAAAATATTAGAACAAGTTTGTAAATATCATTACCTTGAGAGAAAACCTGTGAATTAACTAGTAAATGAACAAATAAAAGATATTAGTACTTCGTGAACTATAGAGGCATGATTCTAGAAAATTCTCTAAAATTGTATATCATTTCGATAATAGGGTTAAGGTATCATAATTGTCTAAATTCGTTGAAAACTAAGACAATAATAATTATTATTGCATATATGTTATTGTCCGATATCCATCGAGATTAGGATAATATCAGAGATATGCAAGTATTTATACTATTACAAGGTCTTATATAGAGTTGTGCAGGTACTGTTACAACTGCACTCTAAAAAAGTAATTCATATTTTAGTATATTCAAAACATAGAATTTTCGAACATGTTTATGTTGCAAAGATTTTAAACACAATCTCGGAAACTTATAAGAGTTTTTTCAAGTTAAAAACAACTATCCAAAATTTCGGAAAGCCTTAGGCCGTTTCAAATAGTCACATTCTTGGGAAACATAAAGAATTTCTGAATGTCCGAAAATCATCACGGTTCTCAAAACAATGTCTTTATTTTGAATGTTTTCATGGTTTCGAGGACCTCGAACATCTACTTTTAACTTGTAAAAAGTTTTGAAGAATTTCCGAGATCGTGTCGGAAGTGTTTCCGGCATAAACATGTTCTGAAACCTTGTTTTTTTTTTGAGTTTTCCACAGCACGTATTTTTTTTATTGAATGTGCATACATTGTCACACAACTTCCTGTCAATACATTTGAAGGAAATGGATTTATAAAGAATGCTTCAAATTGCTACTTTTAATACGTATAGACAAAATTCCTAAAATATACTTTTCTTCTATATCAACTTCCTATACTCATTAGCCTCATGATTGAATTTGCTTACCATTTAAGCCATTTCAACAAGCGTACTTTGATGACTCTACTGATCAATCAACTAGTTTTAATGCTTTGTTTGTTACATGTAGAACTATTCATCATCTGTGACTTCGCACGCAAAACATCAATCATGTTGTAGTATGATGGAGAAAAGACAAACTAGTAGTTTTTCACATGATTTTCCCCATCAATCATGATATAAATATCGAATAATATGTTATATAGACATGAAAATACCTGTTTTTATTTGTCATGTCTCGTTGCATCTCATGTACGTCCGATTTTCTCAACATTTAATACTACTGATAAAAACATATGTATTAATCCAACAATACTGAAGTAATCAACAGATATCTGAGTACATTTAAATGATGAGACAACTCATTATTTGTACTTATGCATCTATGACTTTGTCATAATGCTTACGGAAGCTTGATAACAAAATATCTAACATGTTGTAATTCTTCAAGAATTTTAATAAAAGTGTGAATTCAACAATACAGTTGAACTGTTGACATGATAAAATTTCATTTGCTGAGCTTTCGATTTATACCGCTCAGGGCTATTCTATTTTCTAAAGTAGTACAAACTTGATTTTTTTATGGCGATAGATCAAATTGAAATTGAGATTCGTATATAATTAAGCTTCATTTTTAATTGAATGATCAATCTTCTTAACAATCAATTTATTCGATCAAATGAAAATGTACATTGTATTTTACTTTATTTTTCTATTTAATGAATATATATATACTTTATGTTGTTATGTCTTCATGTCATAGATGCTTTTGAAAATCATGGTCTTATTTTCATTATCATTAGCAAATATTTGAAGAGTATATTTGCTAAAAGGTCTGTCATTAGTAAGGAGACTAATACAGATTTGTTTTACAATTATCATGAAAGAATTTTCTTATAAGAACATAACATAGTTTAAAAGCAATTATTGAATTAAAAAAGAACAAGGGCTTTTGGTTATGATGAATATCTTCTGCTTTGAATACTAAATCATAACAACTGAATATATATCATGTTATAATTTTTGTAATGGTCTCTTTTCTATAATAGAATTCTTCACGATGTGTATACAAATAGAGTTGTAAGTCGATGCGTTAATTGTTGGTGGCAGTTTTGGTTTTTCAATAAATTTCTTCAGTTTTCATAATTTCGGGAAATGATAATAGAAAACTTGTTAACAAGAAATCAGATGGTAATATCTCAAAAAAAAACCTGCTTTAGAACGTCTGAACTTTTTAAAAATCAAAGATTTATTTTTGTGTTGCGATGATATAGCTGAGCGGCCTGAGCCTTGACGGCAGATTTATCTTAGAAATTTTGTGACTACCGATAACTCAGCCGATTGGCTCACGCCTCTCTATTTACACGCATAAGGTTGTCATTGTTTTTTCTGTTTATTATTCAAGACAGAAGAAAAAAATGCACTTTTCAGTCTCTTGATATTCAATGATTGCTGACAGCTTGATTAATCTGCAATTACATTGATGTTCTTCATATTAACAAGGGAATTTTCTACAATATTAAGTTCAAATAGCTTTTATTAATCGATAAACAAGTATCATTTTACCCGTTAGGTCATAAATAAAAGTTGTTTAAAAAGAAAATATAATAATTCGAAACTATGATTAAAATACTGCATAAACATTTAATAATAATTCCTATTCAATAATATATATCACTGTTAAAAGAACAAGACAGATGATTTTTAAATCGAATTTGAAACAATTTGAATAATTTAATGTGTAAACAAGGAAAGAAAGTTATAAATCAAATTTATACCATAAAACGAAGAGTGAGCATTATTATTAATCGCTGTTTATCATATATTTGGTTAGTTCTATGGCGTTATTCCCTATGGAACGACATGTACGATGTAATAATATAACAATTCATATTAACAATTTTTATTTCTTTGAAAACTCAAAATCATTGATCACGTACGTCAACAAAAAATTTCTATAATTTTATAAAGAAATGCGTAGTTTAGACGTCATATTTAATAATTATAATCAAACTAGGAAAATAAAAGAAACACTTAAATTCATTTATTTATCAGCGTAGATACTTATTATTTTCATGAACAATATAAATTTAAAATAGAGAAATGATTATAATCATGTAAATAGTTTTATTCGATTGAACTTTTCTACATAAAATTTTGTTCAACTTTTTTATTATTAATAAAATTTGCTTAATATTAGAATTTATTAAATGAAATGAAATGAAATTGTTATACGTTCTTTAGTAATTTATCAAAATCTTTGTCTTAACGTTGTTGTTTTCTTTCTACTTATTAGAACTCTATCTCAGTTTTCTCAACAGTCAACATATTGTTGATTCGTAATAATGAATGAAGTAATAACCGCTGCTAGTGACATTAAAGAACATATACTTAAACGTTTATTGAATGAACTTTTCATATTTGCGAACGTAGAAAAAACTAAAGTATAATTATCAGGAGATGCCTGAAGAGAATTTTTGTTTTGCTCAAGAAATATATATATGTTACTTTAAATAAACAGAATATATTAATATAATTTTCATTCATAAATGATTAATAATATTTTGTTTCTTTTTTATATCTTTTAAAATTGTTTCTATCACGTATTTTATCATAAGTAGATTTCAAACAAAGAAATAATGATGTTCTTGGTTTTGTTATGCAATTGTTCAGTATCATTTTGTTATTTAATATAAAATCTAGAGTGTAATAGCTAATGGATATGTTATCATATCATCAAACATAATCTTGGGTGTTCATTTTTCAGTATCTATTTCAGATATTAAGAAGTATATTTTTTATATGCACTGACATAAATGGGCTACAGCTAACTTTAATGTACTTATGACAGCAATAAAAAAGTAGCTAAATAAGAAGAAAAATAACTTAAGGAATAAGTAGTCATGATATATATGCACTAGTGAAGACAGTCTTAAAAGTAAATATTAATTAATCATAATTATGAACTGAAGTTGGAAAAAGTTGATACTCAAGAAATACTTATAGGTCAGCGTGTTTTATGTTGTTCAGGCGCATGTATATTTCTTTTATGCTATGTTACGATAGTTTATTTTTTAATAAAGTTTCATGCTTTTCAAACAAATAATGTATTGCACTTTTCCATATTAAATAAACAGATTGTATCGCACTCTTTCTTTTCTACGAGAATCCTTGAAAAATATTATTTCATGTTTGAAAGAATAAGATAAGTTTGCATGCTATTTTTTTTTGTTATTTGCCAATCGTTGAAATGCAAGAAAATTTTTATTTCTAATCATTTTCTTTATCGTTATGCTTATATAATTTGTATTAATTTCAAAATAAGACTTTCTAACGAAGAGTTTAAGTATTATTCCAACTGAATAACGGAATGCAAAAAAAACTAGAGAAAAACACCGAGTTCATGATGTCGACGCATAAAAACGCATCATCAATGTTGCATGTTAAATTAAAAAGTAAATAAACCAGAAAAGTCATTAGATGACTTATTAAAAAAATAATAAAATGATACTTAGATACTAAAAGTACATAGAATATGATATACTCCAATATTAAACAGCATGGAAAATGATGTCTAAGAGAATTTGAAAAACCAAGACATTAGACTCATTCTAATTTACATAATCAATATTGTTATTTTTCCACATTAAACTAACAAAGCTAATTATTATAATAATTATCTTAAACGTTTATGATTCATTTTAAGAAGAAATGTTCAGAAACAAGATTGTTTAATATCGTTTTCTTCGAAAATCGCTTAGAAAAATTCGGAAATAATTGACACCTTGGGAATATGTAAGTGAGAATTATTTGTATCAAATCTGATTTTGAATCTTTTATCAGCCATTAATTACCCAATTTTTGTTTTCGTCGACAAATGATAATCATATTACGCATTAATTTTCGTTCATTTTACTTTTTATTAAGATAAACTATTTATACTTTGATACTGTTAATAGACTTTTTCTTAGTCTCTCGACCTAATATGAAGAAGAACTAAAATCATAAGATAAAGATTTGAATAACAAAAAAGAAAAAAAGTTTATTTTTAATATTCGTTTTACTATATGAAGATTTCATTGTTTGATATTGATTAACAGTTTCTGTGATAATTTCCAATTATGGTTGTTTATCTTATATTATTCGTAGTTTCTTTTTTTTTTGTTTTGTCTACTTTTTTTATTGACATTTGTATCTGCTACTGATTGGATAGTCTCAAGACAATTACTCGATAATAGAATACTATTGACATTAGCAACTATCTATTGTAGCGTATTGTATTAATTTATCTCTACGTAAGATTGTACAAATCTATCAGTAGTAGATATAAAAGAGTAAATTCTTGTTTTTTTAGATTTTATTCTATTTATTTACTAAGAAAAAAAAAAGAAGAAGAAGTGAGACTTTTCTCATTCATTATATAAATGATATCTTTCTAATCCGATTTACTTATTTTGAAGTCTTACTGTCGCCTATGTAGATTTTTTTCTTTTCAATTCAACATTGTTAAATAAAACGCAAAAGATGAAATCAATTCATTTAATTAAAAGAGATTGACAAGGCTTGTTTTTTTGTCATGCCACATGCATGAGTACAAAATAAGCGTTTTCCTTAACTAATGTGAAAAATATTGATGGGTATCTGATCGATAACAATTTAGTTCGATAAACAGTTGTCAATGTCTGACAGAAAGAAGAAAAAAAAAAGATTTCGTATAAATAGAAGACATATAAAAAATAGATTTTCTAAGCATCAAACATTATAATAGAAAACAATAGGATAGATTGTCATTGAAGAAATAAGCTAGTTGTAAACATTATTATTGAGAAACTGATTCATTGATTATTCTTAACCAACCAAGGAAGCCAGGTAAAGGATTAACAAAAAAAGTACGTGCCATAAAAAAAAAATGAAAATTCCAGATATAAATTAATCCTACATGTTATTATCAATGACAATGTCATGAGAAAAGCCATGGTTGTATTTCATATAAACTATTCATATTTTTTTTTCTAGCCCTCAGTGCTGTAGTATTTTGTTCGAGAAATAGATGCTTGGTTTTGTCAGTAGAATATTTGTCTTTGTGCCTAATGCATTCTTCAGGAAATGAATAGCAGGTGCTGTCGTCAAAAAATCGAAGGAAATAAAAAAATATAATTTAATTCTATATTGTACAGTGAAATTAAGATAAACTGTTAAGAAAATAAATATTTAAGGCATTTTGAACTATAAAAAAAGAAAAGTCTTATTTAATTTTATTCTTTCTTATTGAATTTTCATTAAATCTTATTTCCGTTTGTTTTACTCATTTTTATGAAAGTTAGCCTGTTCTTAATATTAAAATAGACCTACATAATTTATCGCTTGAATAACGCAATAGACATTGTTCAGGCGGAAATCCTGATGTAAAAAAGTATTTCATATATAGTTTTTTTCTTCCTGTATTATTTGCGTTCCGTGAAGGGCGGATAGAAACTTTTGCACTTATTGTTTCTATCGTTTCTTTTTTTTTTCTTCTGTCTCTCTTTTTCTCCTGGGTTTTAAGAGCGAAAAAAAAAACTCGAGAAAATATTTTGCGTTCAAGAAAAACTAACAAGGAAAATACAATTTAGAACTTTTTCTTTTTTTTCAGAATGACCGAACACATTGACAATAGTCGACTTAATAGTGATCTTCGTTATCGTTTTGAATATATATCAAAATTTTTAAATTTTACATCAGATGATATTGCTATGCTTAATAAATTTGCGCCAATACTATTTCCACGTATACCTGTTATAACCGATACTGTTTATAGAAAATTATTTTCATTTGATATAACAAAACATTATTTTTTAATTAATAATGAAGGTTTTGAAGGTTTTGTTCCGAGAAAACAAGGTAATATAACATTAGAATCAGCACAAATGACATTTCGTAAAGATATGTTAAGTATGTATTTAAAACGTGTCTTAACACAACGTGAATGGAATGATACATTTCTTCAATATTTATCTCATATTGGAAAAATGCATACACAAAAAGCTGGTTCATCATCAATTAATGTTGATTATATACATGTAAATGCATTACTTGGTTATTTAGAACATATACTTATTGATGTTTTATGGAATGCAGATAGTATTGATGATAAAACTCGGCAAGCAATTGTAATGGCAATAAATAAATTTTTTTGGATACAAAATGATTTTTTTACAATGCACTATTTAACATCATGGAAAGAAAATCCAACGTCAAATGAAACCTCAATGAAAAAAAGCAAATATTGTTGTATATAAATTATGAATACTTGTTTTCTTTTTTTTTTTTTTTTTTTCAAAAAAAAATATATTTATAATAAAAAAAAAAAAAAAAAAAAAAAACTTATATTGATTGATGAATAGCTTCACCTTTCTGTTCTTTATTAAGTGAAAAGAAAAAAAATGTAATTTATTATAATTATATCTAAAAGTGAAGACGTTTTTATATAAGAACAGGAAATACGTTTTTTGTTCTACTTTCTTTCTTATGTAAAATTATATCTTTTCTTTTTTATTTGAAATAAAAAAATTTGATCGAGGAAATTAGACACTAAATTATTCATCTATTCCTTCGAAAAAAAAGAAAAAGTAATTTTTATGAATATTTTCTTTTGAAGGATAAATAAACTTATGTATATAGTTTGCTTGTCAATATATTTTACCTGGACTGTAATAAAGAATTGTTTGAAACATTATATAATCGAATTAACCAATGCGTATAACTATATTTATTTAAAATACTCTGTATATAACATGACTATTTGTTGACATACTTTATGATATTCTTCCACGGGCATACTTATAAACTATTAAATTAAACAAATTCCGGCACTTTTTTCGTTTCTCAAACAAATAGATCTATCACAATAACAATAGACAAAAAAAAAAGAAATTTTATCCTTTGATTAGTCATTTTTCATACATATTTGCATAAAAATTAAATGTACGTATATATATAAAGGTACTAGATTGGCTTCAATTTTCAAATAATACATGTGCTTACTATAATCATGCGCATATATATATATATGTCATTTTCTTTTTGTTTCAAATAGCATTTGATCAAAGATATATATATAGCGATAGAATTCAAAGACAAACACAAAGATGAGTCAAGATATGATTGACGATGAAGGTAATATTTTTGATTGACTTTTTTTTTTGTATGCAATGATATATGATCAGTTCTGTAAAGTAATCGTTATATTCTTGATATTCTTTTCTTGACATATTTATGGATATATAACTTCGCAATAAAAAACGAGAACAAAATGAGTACTGATATAAAAGTTAAAAATATGTAGCACAAATTGACATAGAAGATGACAATTAAAAAGTATTCTATGATTTAAGAAAAAGCCAAAAAAAAAACTCGACTTTCTTCAGCTGTCAGCATGAAATGTCTGCCTAGAATATAAAAGTATAGAGTAGGTAGGTAAGAGTAGTCAAGGACGAAGTTATTTCTTCTTCTTTTTTTTTTCTTAAATTTGAGAAATGTAAGTACGAAGAAAAACAACTTATTTTGAAAAAAAATATTGAAATTGATCTTGATTTGACCAATGACAGAAAAGTTTCTTATTTCCTCGACTTTTTCTTTTTCAATCAGATTGAAGTGGGCGAACACTCGATAACTATATTATATGTATATATATATATATAAATTTCCTTTAGTTTTGTCTGAAACTCAATCAAATACATCATCACGTCGTACTAGTTCAATTAGTTCTCATATGGCATCTACTAATGCACGATTACGACGTACTAGTATTGTTACTGGACGACAATCATCAATTATTGATACAAATGAAAGTAAACAACCTAAACAGCAAACACCAGTTAAAGTACTTGTTGTTAATGGCAAATGTTCTGAAATATTTAAATCAACATTAGAAGATTGTGTTGAAGAATGTATATTAGAATTCGCAGGTGAAAATTCAATTTATGTACCAAAATCAGGACAAACTAAACAAATATCAACTAGTAATAAACAAACAATTTCTTCGAAAGAACCAAGTTCTAATGTATATCAATCAACAAAATCAAATCGTCGAAGAAGTTCAGTTACTCAATTTAATTTACCACAAATTGGAGGAATGCGTACTAGTCAAACTAGTAATTTTTCATTATCTAATACGGCTCTAACAATAACATCTGCATCACGCATACGTCATTCAATAGTTCAACCAAAATTTTCTCTTGCCGAAAATATTTCTGAAGAAGCTATTGACGTTCAAACAACAATTGAACAAATACAAAATCCTTTAACAACTGAACCAGACTCTGAACATCCACATATATCTCAAGAAGAATCAGTAACTCGTCAATCAAATAATGATACATCATCTCAGTCACTTTCAAATTCTCAACGAAAACCTCCATCAACTCCAACTCATTTACTGTATCGTGATCGTCAAAAGGATTATCGTTTATCTGATTTAGTGATGTTGGGACCTGAATATTTTGCTCATATATTTAATCTTCCGCGTACATCACGCTATGCTACACAAACATCAATTAGACAACGTTCTAGTACTCAACAAGGGCGCAATAAACCATCTGATAAATATAGTGAACTTGATCGAATAAAACAAGATCTATTTCATCGATATTTATGGACACAAAAACCGCAAGTATCATGTCGTATTCGTCCTATATCTACCTATACACGTAGTACAACATTTGTCATTTAAATTTTTTTTTTTTTCGGATAAAAACCTATATTATTAAGGATTTTTTTTTAAACAATGTTTCTATTCGGTTGATTGAAAAGAAATGGAGTTCGTTTAAAAACGACTCCGCGGGAGTGTGTTACATTATCGAGCACAATTATAAGAGAGCGAGCGAACGACTCATTGTGTTCATTCTTTCTTTTTAATAGAAAAAAATTAAATGTAATGCCTAAAAAGAAAAAAAAAAAAAATTTCTTTTAACATACTTTTATTATTTAGAAAACTAGAATGCACTCAAATAGTTTGTTTTCTTCTCATGACAAAAAAAAGAATCAACATTTCATTAAGTTAGTGAATTTTATCTTTCGTATGTTTTAATGAATACACGTAACATATAATGAATGAATCAACATTTATATAAGAAGATAAAAGTTACACGCAATCCTCTAAGGGCATATTTTTGATGTATATGTTGACTGGATTGTATGAGAAATGTTTGATTATTATCGACTTTAAGCTTGTCAAAAGGAATGAATTAAGAAGAAAAAGAATTCTTTTGGGAAAAATATTTTTTCTTACGTTTTGATTATTTTTTTTAACAAAAATAAAAAAAGCAATTCATAATCCAGATCATTGCGTTTGTAATCTAGAATGATTGAAATGTTCGTTTACTGATCAATATGTTACAATCATTTCATCGGATCATGAAGCTTTTTATTCTATATCTTAACTTAATCCATTCGGTAATTTCTATTGATAAAATAATCATTGAAAAATTTATGTATGACAAAGATCTATATTAATATTGAAGTCATCAAAAAAAAAATCAAAAAGTTATAATTAAGAAATTCTGCATCATATAATTATACTTTCTCTAAAAGTATGGTCTCTATTCAAAGCTAAAAAAATTCTTTGCAAATTGATATATATAGTTTTTGTAAAGATGATCACATACTTGATGAAATAAATAGACCGATGAATTATAGACATTCTATGATTATTGCTGAATAATCTATTGAAATAATTTCTTAAAAAAATTTCAAAATAAACTTTTTTTATATGCCAATATTTATATTAAAATGAATTGATTATTAAGTTATATAAGAACATTCGTCTCTAGTGAATTCAATTCTATTAAAACAATAAACTCATGATTAATGTCATGCATTCATTATTTGCATTCAATACATCTCCAGATAACTAATAAGAAATGACTCGGTATAAAAAGTATTTAAATGAAATTAAAATAAACATTTTCTAAGATATTCAATAGAAAAACCAAACGAAATATGTAAACAGATCATTTCTTTTGTTTTTATTATCATATAGATCGAACTTTTTTTTTGTTGACTAGATGAAAAAGAAAAATGTCACCATGGTAAATGCATGAGTAAAAAAAAAAAGAATCTTTAGTAAATATAAAAAGTTGAAAAAATGATAATAGAATTATAAGTTATTAATGTTTGTTTTTTAAATTGTTTAATCTTGAATAACATCATAACTGCTGATATTTCGTTTCGAACATCGATGTTTTATAATAAATATTACAGCAATAAATGCAACTAAACCTGGTAGAACAAGACTAACAATAAGTGCAATTCTAACAAATTGTTTTATTGAATCTACTTCAAGTATATCTAAACCAGCTGTAAATTGTATAAATGTATAATTTGATTTAGCAAAGAAGCCTATTATAGTAAAAATTAAATATTAATAAAAAAAAATAAATAAATTGACGAACGAGAACATACCATCTTTAGCTCGACCAAATGAAATATTAAAGGCTGATACATATGGTTGAACATAAAAACTATTAAAGATTCCTTGATCAATTGATTTTTGAAGTGATATATTATTTTTTAAATCATATATTTCCATTAAAGTAGTTTTTTCTACTAATCGATCAACACTTTGATATACAACAGGTTTCCATAACATAGATGATGAATATATTGAACTAAGTGATTTTATTTGCCAAACATTAAAAATACCTTCAACAATAAAATAATTCAAAATTGAAATAACAATAATTATCTATTAAATGTAATTGAACTATTCCATTTACATACAAATATTTTGGGATTATTTTTATAAATAAAACAATGAAGAATAGAATGAGAACTATCAAATATATGTCACTATTGTATTTACTTCAAAAATTATCTCAAAGAAATTGACTAACATCAAAATTAAAATAAAAATTTCATATATACCTGGTGTATATTGATCATCAATATATCTTGTTGATGAAAATTGTGTACCTTCAATACCTAATTGTATTATATAAAATTCTAATGCAAATCTTGTATTTGATAATGTATAGTTATCTGCTTTTAAAGCTATATTAAGAAAATAACATTTTGACGTTGAACGTAATTTTGGAAAATTGACATCACGCATTGATTCACCTGGATAATTTATATCAATAGTTAATAGACCATTCATCTAGAAATTTTTCAAGAAGTTTTTTTCTTGTTTTGAAAACGAAAAAAAAAAAGAAGAAGAATCAATATTTACAGTATCTAATGATAATTGAAATGATGGTTGATTTGTATTATTATCTTGATGTATAATATTTGTTGTTTTTAATCCATTTAACCAATATGATTCTATTGAATTATCATCTTTATTTAAATGACCTGTATCATTTTTATCATTAAATTTTATTAAACGTCGAATAATTAATGAGAATGAATTTAATGGTGTTGTATTTTTAAATACAATTGAATTTGAATAATTTTTGTTAAATAATGCTGTATAATTAATATATGGACTATAACCTTTTTTTGTTTGAATAATACTAATTGTTAATTCGTCGAATGATGAATATAAAATATGAATTATATCATTATCATCAATAGAATGATTGGCATAAAATATAGCTGGATAATTTAAATTTTGACATTCGATTAAATTACATCCAGGATTGATCATAAATGGAATAGATGAATGAATAGTTTTCGTTAAACAGAAAAGAAAAAATAATGAAATAATATAATGAAAAAAAATCATTATGAAATATAAATAAAGTATCTGAAATAAAAATTTCAATTTTATAAAATCTAAGCTATAGAAATAATTTACAACTCTTTCATCATTAATAAATGAAAAATTTAGTATTAGTCAAAAACAATTATTCATTGAAGCTTTGCAAACATAATAAAAATTCATATGTCAAAGATTAAATTAGTTTTTCATTAATTAAATGAAAATATGAATAATTATCACTATTGTTTTATTGAATATTAATTAAATTAGATAACAAAAGGTTGAAAAAAACAACATCTGCTAGGACAATGTCTCTCAGTAACTATGTAACTTTTTCACTCGTTACGCAATTTGATTAAATTAATCTAAGATTTATACAAGACGAATCATTAGTTTTATTTATTTTAACAAAACAAAATATATTTTAAACGATTTTAAATAGATCTCACTTCGATTCATATCATGATCAATATGACACATGAAAAGTTCCTAATGTTTCTAAGCAGAAACAATCAGATTGAAAAAAAAAACAACGCTTCTAAAAACTTTCATATGTACTGAAATTAGCTATGTTTAATATGTTAAAATCAACACAATAAAACATCATAACTCAACAAGATCATTTTGCATTACTTTAAGTTGTTTCAAATTCAAATCTATTGAACACCGAAGGAATTGTGTATGAAACAAAGACTTTATTAAAGAATTTTAGATGATTTCGACTAAATTAACTTTCAACAAAGTTTGTTTTTTTTCTTTCTCTAATATTACACAAATTTCATTACAAGTCACTACCAATTCAAATATGAATCAGGATAGAGCTTAAATAGGTCGGAATTAACGATGACTATAGATGATATTTAGAGTTAAACAATAGATTTCCATTAAAAACAAACTTTTCTGATCAATTTTTTTCAAATGAGACATACCATTACTTGAGAGAATCAGTAACTCTCTATAGAATTTTCAACACAATATTATGTTATTCTATAATAATAAAAACTTCTCGATGAATAATGACAACCAGAAAAAAAATACATACATTTTAAATCTTTATCAATATGAAAAACGATTTACCATATTATTTGTTTCTATCATATGAGTCTTTAAATTTTCTTTTCATCATTCAATAGATCCATTCTTAGTAATCATATTTACATATACATGAACAATAGAATAAAATGATCATTTACAAATAAACAAAACTACAATTTAGAATATCATTAAATAAGGGTTGAAAAAACAAATAAATTAATTTTGTAAATTGAAATAGTCTGACATAAATGAAGTTTTGTTTTCTCTGTACCTAGGAACGAAAAAAAATAGTTAAAATGATTAGTGAACAAAAAAATAATTCTTAACGATCGGTAGATTTCTCATGAGAGTCTATAAAAATGTCTCAACACTTGTTATATGGAAAGAAAAAAAAAAATTTATATATATAAATATTATATCATTATTTTAAATAAAATATTGAATAGCCGAAAGTATCGTTGTAAGAGATCAATTTATTCTTAAGTTATTAAAATATAAAGATGTATCGACAAGGTTCATAGACATTTAGAATATAATTATCTTAAAATTGATTTAAATATTTATGATTGTCAGAAAAAAAAAATTATTTATTTATTTTTTGTGTTTACATCTGAAAGAAAACAAAACAAAATAATATTATTGTATGTTGTCTACACATTCTTAATTATTGAAATGAGAGTTTTAGATATTTTCAAAATATTTTCTCTTCATTTTCGAACAGAGATAAAGAAGAAAAAAATTTTGATAAAAAATTTGTCTGAGTAAAGAAATTTAGACAACAAGACATTTTTGAAGTAAAAAATATATAAATACTTACATTTTGGTATTCAATCGCTTTTAATCTAATGATTATTGTGACTGGAGAATATATTAAAAGTTATTATGTTCATATTTTGCTAAATTTACATACATGAAAACAAAGTTTTTTCTAATATCAAATAATACTACCTAGATTTAATTATTATTAAGCTATCGAAGTGATATGCTTCAATCAGTAC